TGAAATGGGTGCCTGTCATCTGCCGCGCGTCACTGTGATCTCCAGTGGCCACATCATTCCAGCAACTCTGGCTTTCAGATCACCCACAGAGAAGGGTTTGTGGATTTCCTACTGAACATGACGTTCTGTATTTTATCTCCTTTTTGATACTCATGACACCTCTAGGAGATAAAACATAAAAAGGCTCTCCCTCACTTACAGATAAGGAAATAGAAACACAAAAGCTTCTGTGACATACTTGAAGTCATGATCTAACGGAGAAACCACAGGCAAAGCCCTGACTCTAGGTACATAATGTCTGCACAAGATGTCACACTCAAAAGCAAGGGATGATAGTTGTACAACAATATGAACGTACCTAATACTACTGAACTATACCCTTAAAAATGCTTAAGATGCATCAAAGAAAAAAAGATTTTTGGTAACTCTGTATGGTGACAGATGTTAACTGGATTTGTTGTAGTGGTCATTTTGCAATTATTTGCAGATATTGAATCATTTTGTTGTACCTCTGAAACTAATATGTTATGTCAGTTATACCTCAATAAAAAATAATAAAAAACAAAGAAAAATTATTAAGATAGTAAATTTTACATATAGTATTTTACCATAATAAAAATAATTGAAAACAAAGTTTATCAAAAAAGAAAAAAAAAAAGCAGCAAGATAGTGATGTGACTTTGTATACAGGTACTGTCCTTGGTCTATAACCTTTGCTTTGATTCTGCATCTTTAAAGATCATGGTTGAGGGACTTCCCTGGTGGTGCAGTGGTTAAGAATCCGCCTGCCAATGCAGGGGACACGGGTTCGAGCACTGGTCCAGGAAGATCCCACATGCCGCGGAGCAACTAAGCCCCTGCGCCACAACTACTGAGCCTGCACTCTACAGCCCGCAAGCCACAACTACGGAGCCCAAGTGCCACAACTACTGAAGCCCACACGCCTAGAGCCCGTGCTCCACAACAGAGAAGCCACCGCGATGGGAAGCCCGCACATCGCAACGAAGAGTAGCCCCCACTCACCACAACTAGAGAAAGCCCTTGTGCAGCAACGAAGACCCAACGCAGCCAAAAAATTTTTTAAAAAAAACAACATGGTTGGCTCAATCATTACTGCAAATATTTCTGGTAATGAGGAAGACATGACTTTAAACTTTATGTCCAATTTGATCCAATTTGATCATTTTCAGTTTCTCTCTGAAGTTACCCAAAGAAAGTCACCTTCCTTCTTTCTTTCATATTTTATCATTCCATTATTCATTCATTCAGTAGATATTTATGGAGCACCTACCATAGGCCAGGCACAGTTCTAAACTGATGCTCAGTGTTCAAGTACCGAAATAGTTCCATTCCAGTTGGTAAATCCTCCAGTCCCCTCCAGGCTGGCCACCTCGTCTCTTCCCTGAGGCCCTGCCCCCAACCCTGGACTTTCCCATGATTCAGCACAGCAGAAAGGCCCCACTGTGGCCAGTTTCCAGTTCAACTGGTGAATGCCTGGGCCTAACCCCTGATTAAATAGTTTATCACCTCCTAGACACAGCAATGAACAAAACAGACAAGGTCCCTACCCTCTAGCCTAGGAAAGAAATAACAAGTAAATACACAAATGAACCAGATAATTTCAAGTAGTAGAGTACTACAGAACAATGACTAAAACAGCAAAGGGCTAGAGGGTGACTGGAGGTGGAGGAAGCAAGGTAAAACTCAAGAGAAAGTCTCTCTGAGGAGGTGACATCAGATCAGATGGAAGAAGCAATGCAAGGGTCTGAGGTAAAAACCTGAGGTGAGAGAGAGAGAACAGAAATATCAAGGCCTTCCGGCAGGAGCACACTTGCAATTCCACGGCTAGAAGGCCAGCGGGATGGGAGCATCTTTGAGTAAGGTGATCACAGAGGGAGAAAGGGCCAGATCAGGGAGGACCTTCATGGCATTGGTAAGGAGGCTGAATTTCATGCCAAGAAGAGCGAGCGATCATTAGACAGATTTGAAAGAGGGCAATGATCTAATTTATAGTTTTAAAACATTACTCTGACAATTGTGTAGCAACTGGATTAAAGGAAAGCAAGGGTGTGAAAAGGAGACAATGTATGAAGCTGTGGTGGGCATTCAGGTGAACGGTGACAGTGGCTTGGACTAGGTGATAGCAACAGAGAGGGAAAGAAGTATTCTGACTCAATATGTGTTTTAGAGTTAGAAATTACTGATGAGTACAATGTGGGAAGAGGAAACAACAGGAATCAAAATGACTACGATCCTCTGATTCAGTAAGTTGCTGATGGTAGCTCATTTACTAAAAAGGCAATGAGTAGGGGAATAAATAGGTTTGTGGAGAGAAGGAATAAAAAATTCTGCCACAGTAAATGTGACATATCATTTGGATATATTATGTGGTGCTATCAGACAGGCAGTTAGATATTTGACCTTGATAATAATCCTGTGAAGTAGACCAGAAAACCCTGGTATTAACCAAATTTTACAAATGAGAAGAATAAGGCTCAGGGAAAAAGGCTTGTCTTAGTACAAATTAGTCGTCAGTGCCCCTCGATAGAGGGCTGATACCACATATTAAAAAGAGGAACACCTTCACAGCTGGGGATTCTGAAAAATACACATGTACATAGCTCACCCCGTTTGGCTACACGGCTACTCCAAAATTAAAAGTCTTTTATGCCCAAGAAGATTCCCCCAGGAGATTATGACTTACCCAAATAGCAATATGTAATACATACGAATCTTAGCTGAGATGTATGTATAAGGCCATTACTGTCTTCTTAAAATACTTGAGTCAACTATTAAATGCATACATATAATACAAAGGCAGGCACAAAATTTTCTTTAAGGAAAGTTTACAATTCCTGGTTCTCATTTTTATTAAGGGTTTTGTCAAAAAGCTTTCTGGGGAACACATTTCTCAAATTTGAAAAGAAAATCAGCTGGGAAATGACTAGTAAAATAATAATTACACTGCCTCTCAGGACCGTAATCAGCATTTAAGACAAGCTCATGCTGCCCTCAGCATTTCCTCAGACTGCTTTTCTTTCATTTGGCTGCTTTAAAGTGGTGGAAACTTCTGCATTAGAAGATATATTTTATCCCCAAGCTCAACGTATCTATTAGAACTAAACTTCCATTCAAAATTCCAAAGGTGCCATGCTGAAATTAAGGAAGACACTAAAAACAGGAAGGACGGGCATTAAGAAAGAAAATAAGAGAAAGAAGGGGTGAAGGAGGGGAAGAGCGGGGAAGGAGCGAGTAACAAATGACCTCTTCCTGATGGCAATCCCTGTGACAAAGGACTCTCGAATAACGTGCTCAAAAACATCACAAAACCCCTCAGGAAGACAGGCTTGTTTACGTGGCTTGAATCCAGAGGTTATTACAGACTCTCCATAATTTAAACACGGTGTCAATTATCAGTTTCAAATAAATAGTAATTATCAAAGTGAAAAATAAGCATGCCTGCTTAATTCAGCTTAAACCAGCACTTCACTGAACCTTCATGCCAACAGCCAGCTTTTCATGCATGCTCTTAAAATAAAAGCAAGAGCCTGGCTGGCGCTACAAATAATCCTAGTATCCTCAGAATTGGAAGGAAACTTAGAGGTCATTATATCCAACCCTCTCATTTTACAGATAAGGAAACTAAGTAAAGCTAAGAAAGATAAAGTGGCTTACCCCTCATCACAGAGCCACTTTAGGATGAAAAACTGTGCTTCTGATTCTTAGTCATGATTCCAAATAATATAGCATGCTGTCTATGGAGCAGGAAAGAAAAGTACCACAAGGGATGGCCCAAGGCTTTACTGTAGCCACATCCTGATGAGAAAAGGTGGACAGAGCTGGGCATCTCAGTTCTGGAAAAAAGGCCCCGGGCTGCGGTCTGGCTGTCAGCCTGCCACTATCCTCAGCCTACACCCTGCAACAGCTGACAGTCTTTTCAACAGCACAGCTGGGCTTTTTCCCCCAAAGCTTTTGGGTTGATGTGGCAGAGTTTGATGTCTAGTAGCTGGTGCCTCCTTCCATCAAGGTCTTCAGAAGGAAGCCGCTGAAAGGTCATGCAGCAGTGAGCTTCCAGGCTTTAGAGAAACACCGACCTTCCTGAAGGATGAGAGGGAAAAGGACACCTCTCTCCCCTGCCTGCCCAATCCCAGTATATATAGAAAATTCTAGAAGTATTCACAACAAAATTGTGTAGCACATGGGCTTCCCTGGTGGCACAGTGGTTGAGAGTCCGCCTGCCGATGCAGGGGACACGGGTTCGTGCCCCGGTCCGGGAGGATCCCGCATGCCGCGGAGCGGCTGGGCCCGTGGGCTATGGCCACTGAGCCTGCGCATCCGGAGCCTGTGCTCCGCAACGGGAGAGGCCACAACAGTGAGAGGCCTGCGTACCGCAGAAGTAAAAAAAAGTTTAAAAAAAAAAAAAATTGTGTAGCACATTCACGTGGAACTCACATTTACATTTTAGTGCCTACAGAGAACAAAATTTCTAATCAAAATTATTTTTGAAAAGTCATGTCTAGTCATTAGGGAAGTTGCAATATAAGCAGGATTTATATTCAGTTTGCTTACTGCAAACACTTGTATAGATAAATAAATGGACTGATAAGAATAATAATGATGATCCTTCCCCATGCAATCAAGGATTTCCTCTTATCCCCAAAAAAAGGAAACCATTAAGTCTTTAATAATCTTCCACTACATATTTTTTTCCTGTAAATATCCTTTCTGGGTATTCTTTTTATTAAAAACACCTATACAACTGTGGAATACAAGCTACACATTGCAGTCCCAAGATTCTCTCATTAGCTAATGGAAAATAAGATCCAAGAGTAAACAGATGATCAATACTGGTCCACACTTTCCATTCCAGATCAATTCCCAAGCTGCTAATAATCTTCACCATCTCCCAATTCCACTGAAAAAGTGGCCTGGATTTTATCTGACAGTGTTAGCATTCCATTGGCCTGATTATAGAAAATAATCATGAAAAAAGTACTTACGGCATAAGCACCTATCAAAAATGCTGCATTTGCTCTTTTCCGTTGGTCAAAACAGGTGTAGTGCACAATTTTCTTTCGTGATAAACTGTATGACTAGAAAGAGGGAATAAAAAGAGTTCGTGTAACCACAGAGACAATTCACAATCAGTGAAATTTAACAACTTTCGACTTCAATTTCTATGGCATTCATACATAAGTTGTACGGGATGGAGGGATACTAGCTCATACTTTTTACAGCTCAATCATAATGTAAGAATTAGAGCATACCAAATATATTTCTCTCCAAGAAAGGAGAATGATACAATGGGAGATAAATTATTGGCATCTTTATTATAGCAGGAATCATTTTTGAAGATTTACTCTTGATCTTATATGTAAAGTCTATTCATCCTTTTTCATTCCCTAACACACCACACCCACTCCCAGAAAATTTATCTATGCTTTTCATATTATGCCATTTGTTTTTAAATGTGTCAACCAATCTATTTTCCTCTCTAAAAATTTTTAAATGTCTATATTAACCAGAGCACCAATATTAATATTTTCTTTTTATAATGTTCTATTAAAAAATCTCCTTTTAATTACCTGAAAATAAATGGTTAATGGAAAAAAATGAACCATCAAAAGGATTATGTCAGCAAACATCTTAATACAATAGCCATATATTAAATTCATGGACTCAAATGAACAGTTATTAAGCACCAGCTGCTATACGCCAGGCAATATGCTGCATGCTCAACTAAATCCAAAATAAGCGACATAGTATATTGTACGCATGCTAAACATGAAAAGAAGGTAAAAACAAAAAGATCTGTTAAAATGAAATCAAATTATTAGTAAAAGTTCAAACATAAGACAATGAAAACATGATACAACTCAATGAAATCCACTCCATTTCCTCATATTTCAAAACAGTTATATGGTTTTCCTCATATTTCAAAACAAATGGTTTTCAAAATACAGACACATAAGTACATTTTCATATTTATCTATAAATTCATACCGACTAGAAAAAGGCAGCTTTTTATACTCTACACACTAACCACAACCCGCAGAATATCTGCTTTTAGAGCCCCCTTAAAAATGTAAGAACTCAACTATATACCTTTCTTTACCCTGCTGTTTTCTACAAGGAAAAGAAACTCTTCTAAAACTCTGAAGTCCATTCTAAGATGAAACAGCAACATTCTGGCTTTAATGTGTAACCACAGAAAACATAGTTCTATGCATCATGGCTGTAAGCCTAGAAACCCTCACCGTCCCAAGTCAGGCATTTCTTTGATAACCAAGAATCATGTTCTGAAAATGGCACTGCTCTTTTTTTTTTTTTTAATTTATTTATTTATCTTTGGCTGTATTGGGTCTTCACTGCTGCACACGGGCTTTCTCTAGTTGAGGTGCGCGGGCTTCTCACTGTGGTGGCTTCTCTTGTTGCGGAGCACGGGCTCTAGGCGCACAGGTTTCAGTAGCTGTGGCATGCAGGCTCCGTAGTTGTGGCTCATGGGCTCTAAGGCACAGGCTCAGTAGTTGTGGCACACAGGGTTAGGTGCTCTGCAGCATGTGAGATCTTCCCAGACCTGGGCTCAAACCTGTGTCCCCTGCATTGGCAGGCGGATTCTTAACCACTGCGCCACCAGGGAAGTCCAGCACTGCTCTTTTAAGTTGAACTTTTAAAAATAAGTGTTTGCCTCAAACCTCCTTGAGGTTTGGTCTCTTATTACCAAAGTCCTTATTTCCAGACAAGCTTACTAAAATACCCCTATGATATAAAGTTTAAAAGAGTACATTTAAAAACAATAATAATAAATTTTTTTTTAAAGAGTACATTTTATTCAATTCAGGTCAGTGGAGTTAAAGCACACAAGTTATCTAAAGACTTCAAGGTCACTATCAGTGGTGTTGACACTTGTCTACTTGCTTTCTCAATTTGGAATTGTTACCTGCTGGACATTTCTCATTTGTTTGTTTTTACCAGTGATTTATCTCCATCAATAAGTTATGTTTGATTTATTGAAAGAAGGATCAAGGCTCTTAAGACCTAAGCTTCTTCTACGGTCTCTAAATCCTACACTACCTAGGGGCTTCCCTGGTGGCGCAGTGGTTGAGAGTCTGCCTGCCAATGCAGGGGACACGGGTTCGAGCCCTGGTCTGGGAAGATCCCACATGCCGCGGAGCAGCTAGGCCCGTGAGCCACAACTACTGAGCCTGCGCGTCTGGAGCCTGTGCTCCGCAACAAGAGAGGCCGTGATAGTGAGAGGCCCGCGCACCGCAATGAAGAGTGGCCCCTGCTCGCTGCAACTAGAGAAAGCCCTTGCACAGAAACGAAGACCCAACACCATCAGAAATAAAAAAATAAATAAATTTAAATTAAATCCTACACTACCTAAAGACTGCCTTACAGAGGCCATGACCCCGTTAACATGAGTCAGATGGAACACAAGGACTCAGCTCTTCTGGCTCTCAGCCTCTCACTATTTTCATTTCCTGGATCCCTGACACACCTCTGAGGAAGTTTAAATTATCTGTTTCGATGCCCTTTTCTACTAAGAGTTTAGGTTTCATAACAAGCTACTCTTATCATTAAATAATGTGGAATTAAATTTATTTTACAAATTTACTCACCAACAGTGACAAACTCCTATTGCTGTTTTTTCATCGCCAATGGTCTTTACTGTTGGATTGTTTTTGAACTTTTTGTGTTTGCTTCTTTTTTGTTTTTCTCTCTATTCTAAAGTATACGGAATGCAGAGAACCATCCTACAATGGGAACCGTGAGGACAGAATTCTGAAGGAAACTTTCTTTTTACTGTATACTTATACATTTTTTAAAGTAAACATAATACAAATTAAAATTTTAAGGGAAGAATTTTTTTTACCTTTACAAGCTTTCAGAAATTATATCAGATAAAGAATATTCTTCACAAAATCTACCTAGAAATTTTAACTATTTTAAAATACCTGGACTTCCCTGGTGGCGTAGTGGTTAAGCATCCGCCTGCCAATGCAGGGGACATGGGTTCGAGCCCTGGTCCAGGAAGATCCCACATGCCGCGGAGCAACTAAGCCTATGCGCCACAACTACTGAGCCTGCGCTCTAGAGTCCGCGAGCCACAACTACTGAAGCCTGTGCGCCTAGAGCCCGTGCTCCACAACAAGAGAAGCCACCACAATGAGAAGCCCGCGCACCGCAACCAAGAGCAGCCCCCACTCGCCAAAACTAGAGAAAGCCCACGCGCAGCAACAAAGACCCAACACAGACAAAAATAAAAATAATAAATTAAATAAATTAAAAAATAAAATAAAATAAAATGGAATACCTCCTGTTGGAAGCTGCCTACAGGATGCAAACATAATTGACTTTTTTTAAAACATCTGTCACCCTACCTACTCACAAAATTTTTTTTCTTGTGATGAGAACTTTCAGGACTTACTCTCTCAGCAGCTTTCACACATGCAATACAGTGTTATTAACTGTAGTCACCATGCTGTACGTTACAATAACCGACTTTTTAAAATGAGAGTTCTCTATCTGACTTTCAGGAAAGCTTTTAAAACTCCTAGCATTTACCTTGCTTAGGGTTAGATATTTTGGAATTCAAGTGTTTTTCTCAGCACTGCAAGTCAAGAAATGATCTTCTGTTTAGTGAAGCTTGGCCAATATCTCCTAGGTCAGATCACAGAGAGGTGAGTTCTCACTCAAGGAATCAAAACTAATTCAAAGTGAAGGATAACAGAGAAAAATCTTATATATTACAAGCCTTGTCCTAATTTCCCTCCCTGTCACAGCCAGGCCTTCCTCTTATGGGTCAGCATATCCCAGTCTTGCAGCAGTAACGCTGTTCAACAAAGGAGATATTCTGGTACTAGGATGAAAAATTTCAGGGATAACAAAACATTTTGCCAATCGTTTAGCTGGTGCTTTATATGATTGAGTTGATCTACACAACCTCTTTAACGTTTTCTCCTTCTAAATATTAAACATGTCCTTATCTTAAAAACAAAAACTACCTATTACATATCAAAGCACACTGATAACTAAAGTGCCTTTAGAGGAACATTTGGCTCGTCCTTCGAGATCTTTCATATGGAAGAACTTTACCATGCAAGAAAAGAAAGTCCTGCAGACAATAGGACTCTATTTTATAAATGAGCCCCGTAGATATTTTTTCAAGTTCTGCTGTAATATCAGGAGAATTCCATGCCTCCAAACTGGACAGTTGCCTCTTCCTTACCTGGCTGCCACCCCTACAGTCTGGTGTACCGGCCACACCCTTCATGGAGATTACTTGCTAAACCATACCATCACCTCTGGCTTTTAGTGAGCTCCTTGCTCTAATACAGATTCTTTCTGCTTTACATGAAAAGCTTAGAGATTACAAAAACACTGTGCACAATAGCAAAGTAAAGTTAGAAATTGGTAAAACAAATGAATATAGTCTTAAATATAAAGAGGAGGATGTCACAGAAGGAATGCTAAGACCTCTGGACTATTTGTCTGCTCTGCAGCAAGGCTGCACGTGACCCATTGCAAATTATAACATGCAGCCACTATCCACACTATATTGTAGATTTCTATCTGGAAACTGGAGTATACAGCCTTGTGAATCTTCTTAACCTAAGTGGACACAGCCAGCCCTCTATAATAACAACAACAACAGTAATATTTATTAGTCACTTGCTACATGCCATTATTTCTCAAAGCAGTAGGACAGTGCCAAAGGGGTCCAGTTTGACCAGACACAGAGTGACTCCCAAACCAAAGGTCCTGGGCAAGGCTGAAGTATAATGAGCATGCTGTGTCTCTCTTTTACCAAGAGAACATAAGCCTGGAGCCATGGAGGGCCTGGCTTAACACACTTGGCCAATGGCTCCCAGGCCAGATGAGAGAGTTGAGTGCTCTCCACAACTGTGGTAGACGGGAGGAATCCAGAACTCTCTCACTGAGCTTGATAACTTGTGTGAACCTTAATTCTCAATTATAAGGCCATAACAAGTTTCACGGTTCAAAATTTAAATAATTCTCAGGTTGAACTGGTCAATAATTTAAAAACTTTTCAGAAATAAAAAACAAACTAAATTTCTATCTAAATTAT